CTGAACCACAAGTCGTCTCGTCAGAGTTGGGGCCAGACGGAGGGACAGCCCTGGCCACCCAGCTGCTGCTCAGCATCCAGGACACCCTGCGGAGCAAGAGGTCCCGCCCCAGCCCGCAGGCAGACCGGCCTGTGCCCCCAGGTGACCAAGGTGGCCACTCGTGCTCCTGATCCTCCGACACCGAGCCAGGCCAGCGCCACCCGCACCGCCTGCACACCGGGGTGAGTAATGACTAAAGCAAAACGGCCATGAGGAATCATTTGCCTGCCATCCAGCCCTTCTCCTCCTCTCCTCAATCACTTCCAGCTTTGATTAGACAAAACAAGAAAGTTCTCCCTTTCAAGCAGAGGTTAGTGCTCTGCTTGCCCAGCGTCCTGGGATGGGGCCGGGAGCTCCCCAGACGTTAGCTGCTTCTCCTCTGGCATCTCAGCGGTGCCCAGGGATGGTACAGGGACCTGGAGAGAGAAGACAGCAGTGACCTGCATGAACACACCCCAACATGGAACATCTGTCTGAGCACACAGACACATGGATCTGCTCCCCTGCTCCAGCTCCACCGGGAAGAGGTCTCAGCTGTGATTAGGAAAAGGGGGGACCACCAGGGGCCACCAAATAAGGCAAAGCAGCACCTTCATGAAGATCTGGAGCACCTGGCTGCTACAGAAGTGCTCTGGGCTGTTTCCACCAGAGGAACACGCAGCTCAAGCCCAAGCAGGAGCAGGCCTAGCCATTTCCTACCATGTTCACAGAACAACCGAAGCTGGAGGAGCTCTCTGGATGTCTCTCCAACCATATCCTCGAAGAAAGACCAATTCCCAAGAAAGAACAGGCTGCTCTTCCCTTTAAAGAGTACCCAGGAGCACAGCCCACTGCCCACCCCCCAGAGGGACTCACAGCAGGGGGGTGAGGAAGGCTGCTGTCCTGCTGGGTGCTGCTCCCCTCTGCCTGCCCAGCAGGGCCCTGTGCCGTACTGGGACCCCGGGACCCCGACTCCTCCTGAGATGTGCTCTCCTCCTGCTGCAGAATGCCCCGTCTGTCCAAGACGCTGCAAGAGAGAAGAACCACATCCTCAGAGACCCACACCACCCCTGGCACCTACTTCTTTTCCTGGCAGGAAAAGTGCTGGTGGAAGACAAACGTCAGGGCAAGGGGCTTCTCTCCAAACTAGGCTGCACAACACAAACCTAGTTCAGTGTCTACACTTCTCTTGTGAAAACAAAGCCCCCTGGAAAGCAGCAGGTGGGAAGCCCACCAAATGAGTGCCCTGGAAAGGGCCTCCACTCCACAGGCTGTCCCAGGGAAGGGGAGTGCAGAAGGCAACACAACGACCTTCCTCCCCAGAGGTGTTCCCTCACCTCCAGAAGCCCTCAATACACACAGTGCTGGCAGACAAGCAGCCAGGTCTTGCACCCAAGGAAGGAGAGCTTCTCAGGGTCCTCCACTGGGCTCCAGGAGCTTACCTGGGGGGCAGAGGCCCACAGAGCACCTCGCAGCAGTTCTTCACTATGTTGCCATGGCTGTAGGGATTCTGCACGCGGTTCTTCCCAGTCCAGGACCCCTTAATCTGCAAGTCAGGGCACAAATTCAGCTCTGCTCCACCAACACCTGCCCCCAGACCACAGAGCCCTCCCTCATCTCACCAGGCATGGCAGCGAGGTGGACAAAGCTGTGACAAGAAATGGAAATGGCTCAGAGGAACAGAAAGACTCTACTTACATCTTCGTTAGTTGTCTGATTCAGTGCCACCAGGAAGGTGTGGAACCCAGTTAACCCCACCACTGACCACAGGGTGAAGAAACAGATGAGCACCTCCAGTACAGTGAGTACTGTTAAGGACGGGGAACGGCCTGGGAACAGTCCCACCCCAGCTGTGTCCTGCCCCCAGACACACTACCCTAACTTCTCTCCTTCTCCTAGACATGGCTTTCTGTTTTACTCTCCTCCCAAAAGCCACAAAAATGCTCCTTGCCTTGTAATCATGGGGGAAAAAGCCCTGAGAGACTCCTTGGAGAAGCCTGGGCATCAAGACTCTAGTCCTCCATGCTGCAGCTCACACTAACCCCCAGCTCTGGAGAAGCCAACCCCTCCCTGCTATGGAAGGATATGTCCCTGGGGTTTCCTTCAATGTGTTCAGAAACCCAATCTTCAGAGATTCTGGCAATACAAACAGAGAGAGAGATTTTTTTCCTCTGGAACATCCTATCACGTCCCGTTCCCCTTCCCGCTGCATCACCTCAGGGTTCCCAACACCCTTGGCACCCCCAGGCCCTCAGCCAGCCCAGCCCCCACCTCTTGGCAGCCAGACTCACTCAGTGCTACGTAGACGATGTTGAAGGTGAAGATGTAGATGGTGAGGAGTGAGAGCGAGAGGATGAAGAGGTAGAAGTAGCGGTAGTTCCTCTTCCCCACGCAGTTGCCCACCCAGGGACAGTGATGGTCGAAGCGCTCTGTGGAGCGGAGCTGGTCAGCGCTGCTGCCCAGCCTCCCTCCAGACACAAACATGTCCAAGGCAACAAGGACACCCTGGGCCACCAAGTCCAACCCTCTGCCAACTCAGTAACTGCTTTAGTAATGAGCTGTTTTGCACACAGAGTTTCTGTGTCTTCTCTTCCAAAGACCTGAGGTACAGTGGCTTTCCCTGAAGCAGCACACAGGTTAGATGACAATCTGGGGGTTCAGGACCTCTCCTCTAACCCGTGTGCCATGTTCCTTCTACTAGAATAGCTGGAAGAAGGCTCAAGGGACTGAGTAAGCACTCCAGAGGGCTGGGAACCAGAGGAGAGGGATCCATAGGAATGGAATTTCTTCCTTGCAAAGGTAAGCTGAGCCAATTACGAGATGCAAAAGGGCTAAGAGAGCATCTGCTGTGCAGCAAGGGCAACAAAAACCAGGGGCTTTCACCCAAGACCCAGCTTTCCCCTGGCCCAGCAAGCCTAGCAGCTCCTTGAGACCCAAAGATGGGCTGCATGTTTACATGGACAAGTCAGACTAGTTATTGCCACAGAAGTACCAGCAAAGAAGAACCACCTGGCTTCAGGTTCTGAGCAAACCTGGAGCTCCTTGAGCTTAAGATGAGGCAGCCTGTCCCTGTCTGCTCAATCCCCTGCTCTGCACCCGCTCAGCAGAGCAGTGTGAGACCTGACAGGGCATGAGAGCAGGGGCAGATCTTCCCCTGTCCCCTCCCAAGGGCTGTCCCCAAGGCCCAGGAGCAGACACCCCCTCCCCCACTCACCCACGCAGTTGTCGCAGATGCTGCAGTGAGAGGCACGGGGTGGACGGAAGATCTTGCACGTGTAGCAGTACTTGAGCTTCACTATCTGGTTGTTGATCTGGAAGTTCTTGATCCGCGGGGGTGGGCGCTGGCCCTGCGGCACTGTCCCGTTGGTGGCCTCTGAGAGACAGAAAAGAGCAGAGATCAGAGCTGCTGCAGCATGGCAGGCCTGGAGTGACAGCTCCCCTGCCTCTGCTCCCACTAGCGGGATCAGAGCCTGCTGGGTCTGGAGCCAGTGGCTCCAGCTCCACCCGCTCAGTCCAGAGCCAACCTGGCAGCTTGGAGGCAGGAAAGGGAACACCAGAGCTTTCACCGGCACATTGAAGGGGTCTGGGAGTGTGTGTCACTGCACAGACCCACATCCACCGAACCTCCTCTCTACCTGAAGGATCAAGGGGCCCAAACCAAGCTTCCTGAGCCCCTTCCCCAAAGCGAACTGAGTTTTGTGTGTACACAGCTACAAGAGAAAAAATGTTCCCATTTTGGGCACATGACAGTGTTACCAGGAAGGGAAGCAGGAACATCTTTTGGAGACTCAGCCAAGCAGAATTAGCCAGCAGGTGGAGATGGGACAACCCTCCCAAGCAGAGGGCCCAGCAGGAAGCAGAAGGAAGGCTCCTCAGAGATCGTGGCCTCCGGTCACGCCAGAAGCAGAGAGGAGCTCCAGGCAGCAGCAGCTCAGCTCCCCACACTCACCAATCTCCATCTCGATGAAGGCTGCCTCGTCGGGCAGGGCCCTCGGGATCACGCCGGGATCGCTGAAGCTGGTCCGCAGGAGCGTGGCCATGGCGAACAGGAACAGCACGGCCGCGAACACCGGGATGGCCGGGGACAGCTGGACCGCCAGGTACCGGCACCTGCGGGGGACACGGGGACACGGGCCGGTGGTCAGCGCTGCCCTGACAGCCTGGCAAGGCAGCAGAGGGCAGGCTTCTCTGAACGCCAGCGCCGTCTGGAGAGGAGAGGCTGTTCAGCACTTCCTCCTGATCCTACCACCGCAGGGAAACACCTGGGGCAGCCCTGACAACCAGCACCACCGTGGTTTCACCCAGCCAGGCACAACGAGCTTCCCAGCATTTTGTTTTGTTTCCAGCTCCCATTTTGGTCAGTCATGGATATTACCAGAAACACAACCAGCCGGCAGTAGCGATCCTGCTGGGAGGATCACTGCAGGCAGCTGCCCAGGGATGGACCCGAGGCCTGGACTGAGCCCCCCACTGGGGAGAGCCGGGAGGCATGCAATGGGAATCTCTGGCTGTCCCCTAAAGAGGCACCAGCTTCCAGTACCCCAAAAAATACTTTCCAGGGATTAACTGTGTCCTGTGCTTCTCAGGAAGGGATTCATGTGGGACTGCAACACTCCCATGCAACAGATGTCTGGTTTCCTTTGACTTTTCTGAAGCGAGAGACCCGAAAGCTCCAAACAAAGCAGAAAGGCTCCTGCCCCAAGACAACCCCAGCTCCAGAGAGGAAACTCAGCGTAAGGTTTGTTTGCTTTATAAATACTGAAAGGTCCAACTAGGAATTTATGTTGCTAATCCCGCTGATTGAGGCAGGGCAACAGGAGCAGGGAGATTAATCCCACTATGCCCCGTGTCACTGCTGGACACCCATGACCATGGCTCCTCAGGCGCTGCAGCACAGGCCACACACAAGTCACACAGCACTTTGGCTACAGCACAGCACAAAGTGTGCAGAGCAATGCCCAGGGCCTGTCCCCTAAACCAACCCTGCTCATGTTTGACACCACACACTCCACAGCTACTCCAAACAACACAACCCTCGGAGTCACCCATGTGCACGGTCCTGCCTGCATCTGAAGAGCCAGGCTGGGCAGCCTGAGGGCTGAGCTCACCCTCTCAGGTAACTTTGCTTTCCCTTTGCAAGGGCAAAGTCTAGGACTAGAGCTGCAGGTCAGTCAGCCATTAAGCAGAAACCCTGGATCCTGTTTTGGGAAGGAATACGGGTTTATTCCTCTAAAAGCTGGCCATGCTCTGCCTCAAAGGGCTACAGCTCGACCCTTGTCCAGCTGACGTGAAGCTTTTGTAACTCTTGTAACACCATGAATGTTCTGCGGGCTTAACGTACAGATTTGTGGACTGTGTCAAAGCTGAGCTGAAACTGCGCCCGAGCTTCCAGCCTCAGAAACACACTAACACCTCAGAAGTGTCCCCAGGTACCATCAGCAGAAAGGTTTATGGAAAGCACATGGCTCATGCCAGCTGTACCCTCCAAGGCACAGGCCTGGAAACTCCATACAGCAGGAACACAGGGGTGAGTCCCTGCAGCGTCCACGCTCAGCGTCCTACGGGAGTGCAGGGTGTGATTCACTCCCTGCTGACCATGTCCTGCCCATCTCCCGCTGGAAACCTGCCCTCTGGGGATGCAGCCAGTCCTGCTGTCCCTCAGGCACTGCGATACTGATGCCACCCCATGGCAGAGCCTGGTGTGGAAATGGTAAGAAACCCGTGATTTTGGGAGAGGAAGGAGACAAGCGTGCGACTGTCCTCCCCACGTGCCAGGGAAGCAGCAAAATCCAGCCCCTCCACCTGCTCCCAGTGCAGCACGGGGATGGCTCCCAGTTCAGGAGGGGTGGGAAGCGGTGCCAGACAGCCTGCCTGTCTGCCCAGAAGTGGGCAGGGGGGAGAACAGGGACAGCTGGTGCCTGCTCCCCTGGCTGATGGGGAAAAGGTACCTAGAAACCTAGACAAGGAAGGGCTGACACCAACACCTTCAGCCACCGCCCAGCGAAGCCATGAGATGTCTGCCCAGTGAGGCCCTTGTCCTGCTGCCATGGTCCCTCCAGCAGGAGGCAAAGATCCAGGCGCTGTGCCGGGTACTCAGCCCCCTCACTCAGACTGAGGGGCTGA